GAGAGAGAGAGAGAGACAGAGAAATAGATAGATAGATAGATAGATAGATAGATAGATAGATAAATAGGTAATTAGATGAAAGAGAGAGAGAGAGATAGATAGATCGATAGATAGATAGATACATAGATAGATAGATACATAGCTAGATAGATAGGTAGGTAGGTAGATAGTCAGAGAAAGAGTGAGAGAGATCAATCGTCTTTCGATCCATCAGTGGCTTCGCTCTGCCATCCCTGATTCACAACAACCAATCTCTCCTATAGGTTTCCTATTTTTGAAACTTCCGCCACCGCCTTGTGCGGTACTACTGGTAATCTATAATGATATATATATATATATATACACGTACCTATAATATATATAATTTAATGTAGGGAATAGTCTAATTTTCATATCCTTACTTGCTGTAGATCGTTGAACATCACATCATCCCATTCAACTGGAGCCCCTAAGGACTTGACCATGGTGAAGAGCGGGGGAGGTCGCGCCAAACTGTGTGGGAAGGGGGGATGAATATCCATAAAAAAATCCATAAAACAACAGCCATAATTAATAGTTCATAAAATAGTTGAAAACCAGATGATCGCCCGAAAATCAGATAGGATAATTAATATGAATAACCAATTGTTAATATTTGCTAATTGATAGTTCATAGTTTCTTTAAACAGTCAACAGTTAATAGTTACTATGCAATAATAGTCAATACTGTTTATAGTATATGGAGGTTTCCTACTTCATAGGGTTCCCCCAAATGATCCCACTTTTGTTTGGGATTTTCCATGAAAGCATCCAGTTATTGAGGTATACCATGGTATACCCCCATTTATGGATAGCTCCATATAAATCCCAGCTATTTTAAGATGTGAACCGACTGCCATGGAGATGATTGATTTCACCAAGGATGCTGATTAATTTCACCTCTGGGGATACCCTCTGATTATGACTAACAGTTTGCTATTGAAAATCACCATTTTTCATAGGTAAATCAACTATAACTGGGCCATTTTCCATAGCTATGTAACAAATTACCAGAGGGTAAATGCGAACTAGAATGTGGATAGATATTTGGGTGATTTTTGGATCACATCGCCCAACTCTCCACACGTGACACGTGGGGGTGAGAAGTGGAGTCAGACTGGTGAAATTCATAGCCTTCTCTTGGTGCGGCCATTTTCATAGGAGGTACCAAACCCATTCATTGCGGAATCCCGAATGATGCTAGGATGACCAAGGGCCCCATATACCATGTCTTGAACATTGCACATATGGAAACAGACTGGACAAGTTGCTCCATTTTCAATATACATATATATATATACATGCTTACTTTGAACCTTATTTTGGATGATCCTGTATTCTGCGTAAACACCAGCTGAACATATCCCAAAATGTTTCGAACGACTGTATACAACAGCATATCTATCCTTCGATCTATTTATATCCCATTTGTCTGTCTATTTGTCTATATCATCTATATCTAGTAACATCTACAGCAACTATATAATATCTTATATCGAATATCTGATACCAAACATATGATATTGAACATCTATGAAATGTAATCTCTTATATTTGATATCTATCTATAGCATTGCATCTATTAAATAAGATGAGCCGAGCGGCTCTTTCGCGTCAACCCTCAGGCGGCCACAGATCCCCACTGCGACACCAGGCTGGGGTTACTAGCTAGATGGGATAGGGCTACTTTTAAAATGACTCCTTTAAAGGTAGGCATGACGAAAGGTAGCTATTAAAGTAGGTATACCTACCTGGATAGGGATACTTAAAGGTAGGTAGAAACCGATCCATCCCATGTTTCGGGAAATGACAATCTTTTCACTCTGCCACTGGTCGTTTCAATGGCGTCCCCAGGTCACAGCGAGGTTGGTAAGTTGGGTTTGTCTGAAAATATGGTATATTCCCAATGAAATAGCCATTAATTTAATAGGGATAATGATCATTAACCATTGGGTTTAGGGGTACACTATTTTCAGACACACCTACATCGAGTTTTTTTGGGAATCATGACACCAAATTTGGATGGCTTGTAAAGCCACTCTTTTTTTGGGGGAAGCACCACCTTGTCATGCTGGAGAAGATAAACTAGGAATACGTACTAAACTTATCATTCCATATACTCCAGGATGAGTACTACATCTATTTTACATGGAGTTGTTTGAAACTTTGGCACCTCAAATCTAATTGTGTGTCATCATTCTCCTTAAACAACTGGCAATGTTGGGGGGCCGACCGCATTTTCAGACCCACCATATTCCTGTCCTTTGTTTGTAGCCAGTGAAATAATCCTATTATATCCACTATTTATCATTGATTTTATACTCCAATATAAGTATATATATATACATATATATATAATGTAATTATATATATATATATATTTATCATGGCTTAATAGTTAATTACCATATTAATTAAACAATGGCCATTGGCCATGGGATATACCATCTATAATTCTCCCAAATCGTGGTAACCGCGGTGAATGAATCCCAACTGAAAAACATCTTGGGATTTAGTATTTGAATGTGTTTTGTAATCCTAAATCACTAAAATCAGTTACATGTTTTTTTTAATTCAGTTACATCATGTTATATCCACCTATCTGAGTCTTATTTGTCAATATTTATCAATATTTATCAATATTTATCAATATTTATCAATATTTATCAGTATTTATCAATATGTATCAATATTTATATCCACTTAAATCCCTATCATCTTTGATGGTTAAAGCCTATGGTTACCCATTTTTGAGCTACGGGATGACCCGGACAGGAGAGACGCCTGCGAAAGCACCTGCGAAAGCGCCTGCGAAAGCGCAGAAAGGGCCAGAGCTGCTCGGTGGAAGAAAGATTTCGGGCTGCTTTTGTGGTTTTGATAGAAATCTACTAAACGAATAGTTATAGTCATATTTATAACCATACTATTTCAGAATTATAGAATTTCGCGGTATACCATTCCGTTTGGAATATTTCCTTAATATATTTCATGGTAGCCATAGTCAAAGCATACCATACCATACCTCCTATGTGTATCTAGATGTCTTAATGGGGTAACGGGGCCAAAAGCAGGTGTGTTGAAAGTGGCATCCACCGCTCCTCACGTTTTGTTTTGTTCGACGAGAATTGAGAGACAGAAGAGTACTGCAAACTTAATTCGAGGTTTCCTAAAATAGGGGTACCCCTAAATCATCCACAAAAATTGGGTTTTCCACTTCTTCGACCATCCAGCTCTTTTTTAGGTATACCCCCATGACTATGGAACCCACCACATACTCTCATGGCCCACAAAGAATTTGGAGGCCCCGTTGGCCCGTTGTCGGACAAAACACGGTTGCCGCAACGGTCAATATCACCATCCCTGGTCCCATGCACGGCGTTTCTAGCTGTGGGCTTGCATGACATGCATGGCAGCTGTAAATCTGATCATTTCAATAGGTCAATGGGAGATCTCCAGGATACTAAAATGGAGGTACGTTAGTACCATATGTTTGGCCATATTTTGCTGGGATATTCCCTGAAATTTATGCCTAACAAATAGGCCTGAAAAAAATGGAATCGGTACCTCCAATCAATCGGTTCCTGACATGGCCATTGAATAGGTAAGTCATGGATCACATGGGAAATTGCACCTCACCTCCAAGACATCCAAGACCGGTCTAAAAAACTGATTTGGGAGCTGATCAACGGTCTTAAAATCTGACCAAGTTGCTGGAGATAATGATGCCACCAACATGAGGCCTGTTGCTGACCAGTTTGTGTTTACCCTTCGCTGGGAAAACCAGCGAAAATTGGAGCATGACTTGGTAATACTTGGTATCGGTATGACATGTTTTTTTTTGAATTCATAGCAACACTTCTGAGATAGTTCGAAATCAGGGTCAGTTTTGGAAACCTTCTGGTAATTGATGAATACCCTCTGGTAAACTAACATAACTATGGAAAATCACCATGTTTAATGGGAAAATCCACTATATATGGTCATTTTCAATAGCTATGTTAAATTACCAGAGGGTAATGCCGATGGAAACCATTTAGTTCGATGATTTTCTTATGTGAACCTTCATTTATTTTGTGGATTTCCAAGCGGCCCTCTATGTTACCAAAGGGATCCAAAGGGCAATATCGGCAATATCGGCCATATCTTTTATATATCTATTATTATATTTGATCTCCATTAATAATATAGACATGATACATATCCTTAAATATATTTGATCTATATCAAATCTATATAATATTTTTTTTTGGATCTTGGATTATATATCATATGAATCATATCCAAGTTATACTTGATTTGGGATCCCCTTGGGATCCGAAAGTGGTGACCGGTTCCGAAAGGCGCCCACGAATCCCCAAGTCGCGACCGACCCCGCCGGTTCCGAAAGCGGGGCAAAGTGAACTCGACAGCGTCTTGGAGAAATCCTGGAATCCTGGGACGTACTAAACCATAGGAAAACCATAGGAAAATGGTGGTTTAATGGGATTTAATGGGAATTAAACCGGATTTAATGGGATTTAATGGGATTTAATGGCACTTACCCTCTGGTAAACGTTTACATAGCGAACTGGAAAATCACCATTTTGTAGCTGGGTAAATCCACTATTTCTATGGTCATTTTCAATAGCTATTTTGACAACCAGAGGGTATTTTTTGTCAACCCCGGATGAATCAACCCCTAGTAGCCTAGGCTGTTGGGGGGGTACCATTTCAGTAGCCATAGAAATCACAAAATTTGGGGGAAGCACCACAATTAATCAACCAGGGTTTGCTAATCCGGGGTTGACATTACTTGAAATGAATGAAACATAGTAAAATAATATATAACATGTAAATATATACCCTCTGGTAAACTAACATAGCTATTGAAAATGACCATTTATAGTGGATTTTCCCATTAAACATGGTGATTTTCCATAGTTATGTAAACGTTTACCAGAGGGTATATATATATATAATTAAGTCCTATAGGTTTAGGGTTCAACATGGTCAAGGTATGTTGGGCTGGTGTCTTGAGGGAACCGAAGGGAGACCCTGCTGACGCTGTTTGGACATGCAAAAAAAAAGGCCATTCTTTGAGCACAAGTAGCCACAAAACTCAGTGGATAGCAACAGAAAGAATGATTTGCTGCAGTACAGTACTGTTTTGAAAATCTCGTGAATCTAGTTGCCTTTCTATCACTCTGCAAATGGTTCATTGTTTTGCTCGTAGTCGCTGATAATTATGTTGGATATCGCATCATCCTCTTCCCAGAAATGAGCTTGATCTTCATCCCGGAGGTACAAGACTTCAAGAGGGGAAACACAAACACACATGGAGGTTTCCCAATATGGCAGTGTGTCAAAACCAATAGTACCCCTGTAGTTCACATCAAAATAGCTGGGATTTATGGCTGTGAATAACCCACTAAAAATATGTATCTATAGCTATTGACCCATACCCATATGAAATTACTGGTTGGTGGTTTGGAACATTTTTTATTTTTCCATATATTGGGAATAGTAACCCCAACTGACTAATATTTTTCAGATGGGTTGAAACCACCAACCAGATTAGCCCTAAATCACTAAATCATCCATTTTTTGGTGGATTTTCCCATGGTTTTGTTCACCATCCGAGCTGGGATTTTTTTCCATGGGCCGCGATGGAAAGACTTCAGGTTGGCTGCAGAAGCAGCGACGAAAGGTGCCATGGCCATGGATCAAATTGGAGGTACCTACCATTTTTTTTGGGCCCCCATAGGAAAAACCATAGGAAAACCATAGGAAAATGGGATTTCATGGTATATATATATACACCATCTGGTTATGACTAATTCACAGTTCGCCATGGAAAATCCATAAATAAATGGACCGTTGATATTTAGTTCGCTGGGAAGATCATCTATTTCGATTCGGGCCATCTATACCAACCATGGCGAACTGTGAATGTCATAACCAGATGGTGTATATATATATATATTATAAGGTCTATGTATGGCCTATGTCTAAGGGTATTTATTATTACCATCATATATCCCATTAAAATCCCATTAAATCCCATTAAAGTACCATAAAATCCCATTAAGTCCCATTAAAATACTGAATCCATTATCTACTATAAACCATAGTTTTTTCAGCCATTTATAGATACATATGGTACATATATGGTACATATACCAGATGGAGCCTATGTAAGGCCTATTTATGATATGGTACGGCACAGTAGCTCCAGTTCTGAAATGGCCATTGATCAATCTGGGGAATCGGCTGGAGAATCGACTCCAGTTTCGGTGCCGGAGATCCCCGGCACCGGTTTCAAGACTATTTAAGATGATAGGTACATCACTAGAATTGATACATAACTATATATAATGGTTGTGGTACTATATATAACTAGAATTGATACATAACTAGAATTGATACATATAGAATATGTATATATATATATATATATTATAGTTATATATGTATTATAGTTATATATGCTGTATTATAGTTATATATGTATTATAGTTACATATATAGTACCACAACCATATGGGTTGAATGAATTGGGGGTACTCCTAAATGACTTCGGAAGCCTCCCTTGAAGCCATTGAAGCCACGATTCCGCCAGGCTTCCGAAGACGGCTTGAACTTCTCGGGTGGAGGTGGGTGAATTTCTCTGCCGCCA